TTGTCTGTGTGTATGTATATTTTAAAAGAGAAATTGTGTCGATCATAGCACAGTATGGCGGTATCGCTGCAATCCACACAGCATCTACTGCCGCCTTGGATTGGTTAAAGGACCTTAACATTCAACCCTGACGTTATCTATTCAAACTGTTGCTTGCATGCCACACGAACGAAGAATAATTGTATAAGATGTCTCTCCAATTCGTAATCGTATACAAGGGTAACAAATATAATTCGCTGGTGAACTTGGGAATGAATGCCAGACCGCTCGACTATTCTGCATCACAATTTAAAAGCAACCGATTTTACGCGGTTTATAGTTGATATTCTGTCCCTAAGAATGTAGCCAGATTGGTGCTGTCATCTTGACATGCATATCACGCTGGGACTTCCAGCTGTCCCTATGTATAGCCTGTATATAAAAAAAATGTTTGTGCATCGACCATTGTACAGGATGTGTCTAGCCAATTCATATAACCATATATAAGGGAAACAAATAATTCGCTGTTGAACTTGGGAATAAATGCCAGGCCTCTTGAGTGTCGTGCATCACATTGTAAAAGCAATCTATTTTACACGGTTTATCTCCATTAATATAAAAGGCAAAGTTGTGATTGTGTATCTGCTCAAAATGTTCAGCGTACTTCCCGACATGCAACAAACTTGAAATTTGCCATGTGGGTACTTTCCAGACCGTACACCATGCAAAAATTAAAACAAATACACTTATTATTTTTTTTTTGGGGGGGGGGAGCTCAATAATGCATATTTTTTTTGCACGGCAAAGTGAGCTGTGACGTCAAATCTGTCATATGACCCGCGCATCTGGAAGCGTAACGCATTGTAGTGTAGTGGTTAGCGCGCCGCGCTACGAACCCGGCGACCCGAGTTCGATTCCCGCTCACGGCGACGATTATTTGAACCGGTCCTAGGCCGACTCAGCCTCAAACGAGTAAGTGTTGTGGTGTGTCAACATCGCCACTAGGGAGACAAAGGCGGCCGGCCGTGGTGAATCCAAGTCCCGGGCGAAGCCGGGTAGTACAGCTGCTAGTTTATATTCTGCCCCCAGCCACTGTGATTAAGCGCTAAAATCCCTCTGATTTGAGAGACGCAGCACTCTCGGCTCCCCCCGCCATGTGGCGCGAACTGCGCTGTGCGAAAACACATCGGCGTCGCAGCAAATACACGATCACCGTACCGTATTAGCATTCAACGGGACGCAATTGCACCCTCAATGATTCACCCACAGGATGACAAAAGAAGCGAGGACTTTACGGTGAGAGAGAGCGTTGCGTCGCCTGTCGCATCGGATATCCTCAGAAGCTATGTAGGGTTGAGTCTGTACTCGGATGGGGTGACCACCGTGCATACGCAGTGTAGCAAACTCGATTTGTTGTTATTCTGTGCTCTCTTCTCACTGAACCAGCGTGGTGAAGTATGGTCAGGTCAGGTCAACCAGTACTGTTGTGGACCGTACGGTTGCCACGTGTCCCCCAAGGTTTGAACCCGGTATGCCTGGGAGCTGATCTCTGTTGCCGGAAACTGCATAGATTTGTTAGACCCGTTGCTGACTGAGAAATGTCGGGGTTAGGTCTGTGGTGAAAAAAGTGTGTCCAGCAGTGTGAAGGCCCTTGTCCAGCAGTGGACAAACAATCGGGCTGTACATGTACGTGCTCGCTAACAGCACTTGCCCCAACAGTCTGTTAAGGCTACTCGGGGGATATTTGTCTGTGTGCCCAAGGGTATGTGTGCGTGTCGGTGTGTGTATTTAGTGCTGCGTGTAGGTTTGTGTTGGTATGTCTGAGTAAGCGTGTCTGTGTGGGGAGCGGTGCTCGCTTAACGGCACTTGCCCCAACAGTCTAAGGCTATACGGGGGATCTTTGTCTTTGTTAGAGCGCTGGCCTACGACCCGAGTTCGCATCCCGCTCACGGCCTCCACTAGCAACGATGATCTAAACCTGTCAGGGGCCTCCCCTAGGTTGACTCGGCCTAAACGAGTACCTGGTACAGTGTGTAAGCATCGCCACCTAAAGAGACAAAGGCGGCCGGGCGTGGTGCTGACCACCTACCCACCCCTTCGTGTGCCATTCCGGCCTTCATAGGTTGCTACTCGCTAACAGCACTTTCCCCAACTTTATCTTGAAATTCTTTATTATTTCCAACGCGGCCAATTGCTGTGTTTTTTTTCCCCTCCCGCGCCCAGTGTTTGAGCACAATGCCCGGTGGGTGAGCCGGAGGACATTGTCCTCGGTGCCAGAGTGGCTCTTTGCTTCGGGGGTGGTTTCGCTCTGGTCGTTATTAAGCCTCGGCACGTGGCTTATCCACCTTGAGGCCTCGCGCAATATCCCTGGCATCTTCGCCAGAGGTCTGGTCCCGGAGCCGTTCAGAGTGGTCGTTCGTGTTTTCATGGCGGGCTTTAAAGAATTGTACGCATTTCGCCTGTGTCCCCTGTGTCAGACGGAGTACCGCGGTTGCGAGATGTTAACTCCCTCGCCTGATATGTAGGAGGTCGTGGTTTCCATCCCGACTTGTCGCCTGCTCAATATTTGGAGTTTGCGTGGCTCTCCCCGTGGTGGCGTGGATTTTTCTCCGGGAGTCCTCCGGTTTTCCTTCCACATTTAAAATCAACTAGCGTTTTGGAGTATTTGGCTGCTATACATTTCCACGTGATAAGCCACTTAATTGGGCTATCATTTGTGGCCAGGTCGCTTCTGAAAAAGAGCTATATAGTTAAATGGGCCTTACCTGGTATATTTAAAAAAAATAGTTTTACAATTTTTGCCCGCGTCCCTGTGTGAGTTTGCCCCTGCGAGTTTGTGAGTCTTTGTGCTACGTAATATTTTTCCACGTTTATCTTTTATCTTCGACACGTGCAGCCCTAATTTTTCATCGATCCACTGGCGAGATGAGGGCCTTCTGTGACGCCGCGTGGATAGTGGGGGTTGTTTTGACCGTACTGGTCTGTGAAGGCAGGGGAATGTAGCTGTTGGACCACAGTACAGTACACCAACTTAATTTTTAGTGCATCGCCCTCTGCTGATAACGTATATCCACAGCAGCCTCAATTATTGGCGAGTCGCCTATCCCAGGCACTGCGCAGTCTCAACATTGAATAGTTTCCAAGATTTGGTGAGATCGGGAGCATTCCAGGTGATGTTTGTCATCTATGATTTCATCTTGTCGAGTAGTTTAAGTGTAGCCATTGTTGCGGGTGGTTACTCCGCGTTTGTGGGGAGCGGTGGCGTAGTAGCGGTTAGCACGCCGCGCTACGAACCCGGCGACCCGAGTTTGATTCCCGCTCATGGCCAACAATGGTGACGGTCATCTGAACCGGTCCTGGACCTCCTCGCTTAGGTCGACTCGGCCTCAAATGAGTACCTGGTGCGGTGCGTAAACCTCTCCACTGGGGAGACAAAGGCGGTCGGGCGTGGTGCTGCCCTCCCCACCCCCTCGTGTGCCGTGTAGGTTGCTCGCAAACATGGGGGGGATCTTTGTTTTTGTGTGGCTAAGGGCCTGAGACCAATTCGTATTGATCCTCATGCTTATGAAATTGCTTTCCATTGCCCTAAGTTCGGTCAAGCGTTGGTACTACGGTGCATATGGCGTTTAAATCGCATCCATTTGTGGCGTTTCACCGAATCAACAATGTTGATGGCAGCAAGGGGAGAGCACCTCCACTATCTCCTAATTCCGGCTCAAACATCCGAGTTGCGGTGTTGCGAGGTGAAGAATGGATCGCGTGGGGGGAGCTTCAACCACCGATCTGTTCTTGGAGTTTGCGAGTCTCTCTCTCTCTCTCCGTGGTCGCGTGGATTTTTTTTCTCCGGGTCCTCCGGTTTTTCCTCTCCACATTTAGAAGCATGCGTTGAGATTATTTCCATTATTTTTGCTGCTATACATTTCCACGTGATAAGCCACTTTGTTGAGCTATCATTTGTGACCAGGTTGTTTAAAAAGAAAAAAACAAGTTAATACCTATGACCTTTACCTGGTAAGATAAAAACAATTGTTTAGTTTTATTTGTAATATTTGAAGTGATTTTGTTTACCTTTCCAAGACTTTGCACTTCTATCTCTTTTTAAAATTTGGAACGTTCTAACCCGCTCCTACTGGACATCTGTCGAAAAAAGAGCTTCATAGCTCATCGGATTCCTCCTGCAGCATAAATAAATAATTCAGATTCTGATGACGGGCCAGGTAACCAGTGGGAGAGGGGTCAAATATCATACCCGCACCAGCCACATTGCTGTAACTCAACAGCCACAAACGATGCAGGAAAGAGACACGATCTTCCTTGGGGGGTTTTCCACAATCTTCAGACATTTTATAAACGCTCATTTGATTTAGGTGTACATGTCGTGCTGCTGGCCTTGAGGGGTTCAGTTATCTGAATGGGGCTATGGGGTGAGCAGCAGAAGGAAGTGGAGCCAACACCTCGGGGGTTGTTATTGTAAGGTACTTCTATGCTCCCGTCACCGACCCGCACTGGCCAAACTCCCCGCCGAGACCGGCGTGGAATGGAAAGACCCTCATCCAGCGGTGGATTGACAGGGCCGTAGAATGACCGTTATGAGTTGATACTTATATAGAATTGCAACGTTGAGCCAATGCTGGTTGACGGTGCGCCAACTTAATGTTTGCGGGGCTGCGCCTTGAGCACCATTTTACGAGCGTTTGTACTTTACACAATAATTGGACGATGTTGAATGTTTAGAACCACTCTGGTCTGTTGAGAACCTCGCCGCGCGCTCTGCTGAGATTGCCTCGCTACGATCACGACTTTTGCGAGGCGGCCGCAGTAGGTGGCAAGAGCACAAACAAACAACAACAAACTCAACACAATTCGTCCATAACACTGCCGCCAAAGTAATACGTGAAAAAAAACTTGTATAGGCGACGTTTCGGGCAAACGACCCTTTTTTTTGAAGAAAAAAAAATCACAACCCGGCGCGTGTAGCAGCGATGCATCCATTGCGAGTGGGGTGACGCTTGCACACTCACCCCGATGGTGCGAACTTTCGGGTTAAAAATGCGACCCCGTCTCTCCGACTCGAGCCGGCGCCTCCTGGCAATGGCTGCAGCCTCCCTCTGCTCCAGCTGAAACATTTTTAATGTTTGGCCTCTGTGCTAGCGGACGCGGGGGGAGCGAGGCGAGGCGAGACGAGGTGGGAGTGGGGAAAAGGAAAGCGATAACGAAGGCAGAAGAACTTTTAAAAACAAGAGGAGCGAAGAGGCTGTTAAAGAGAGGAGAGCTATGGAAGGTAGCTGGGAGCGCCGCTGTCAAGTAAACAAAAGCGGTTGCCATGGGCTCGTTCATTCATGAACGCGTCGCCTTAACCACTCCCACACGCGACCACTCTTCCCAGCCTTGATTATGCGCTGTGTAACAAACCATTTATTTGTTCCCTGGGTGGTAAGTGTTATTTCCTAATTGTGTATGCCTCAAAAGTACATGCAATTGCTATTATTCCCCACAAACTTTTATTTTGTGACCAGGACAGTGATATTTTGAAATGTACCTATTTTCAATGAGAACACGTGGTGTGCGGTTTGTGTCATTCCACCACATAAAGCCCTGGTCACAAAAGCAAAGTTTGTGGGGAACAATAATAGCCGTTTTCTATACTTTTTAGGCATAAGCAATTAAAAAAATAACACTTACTACCCAGGAAGGGTGACGTGAACACTTAATTTGGATTGGCTGTGTCGGGTGGTGGAGGGGGGGTATGGTTGGAGTGGGCATTTTCAAAATAACCAAATGTATGGGTCTGCCGTTCGTTTACGATCACGATTAACAGAGAGTGCAGCTTAACCGTGGAGAACCCTCACGGTGTAATTGCACTAATAGTGATTACAGTCCATGTTGTTTGATCGGATGTGGCCTATATATCGAGTGTTTAGACAGAAACAATGTACACTTTTCGGCCAGGTGGCTCTGCGACAGAGCCAGCGGGCTCGCAGTCGCAGGTTGTAATTCAAAATCCCTGCTTTGGAGGGGGGGGGGATATAAAAAAAAACACGAAACATTTACAAAGCGTGCACCAAAAACCGACATGCATCGGTCTTCAAACTCCGTGGTGACAGGTGGGCGTGGTCAGCAGGTGGGTGGGCGGTGCCCGTTAATGGGTAGGCGGGGCCTCCATCGGAGAAGGCGGGGCCTCTGGCTGCGTGGGAGGGGCTCGTGGCCGAGTGGGCGTGGATGTCGTAGTGTGGATGGTATGGCTTGCCATGTAAACTTTCAAACAATTGTTTTATTTTGCCAGGTAAGGGCCCCCACTGAGCTACGTGGCTCTTTTTCAGAAGCGACCTGGCCATCGCAAACAACAGTTCAACGAAGTTGGCTTATCACCACGTGGTGATGTATCGCAGCCAAGCGCATGTTTCTAAATGTGGACGGGGAAAAACCGGAGGACCTGGAGAAAAATCCACGCGGCTACGGGGAGAGACGGAGACACGCAAACTCCAAATATATAGCAGCAGCCGTCAGGGTCGGGATCGAACCTCCGACCCTCCTGCATACCAGGCGAGGTAGTTAACATCTCCTAGCTACCGTGGCGCTCCTGTGTGCATCTCCCCCCATCATTGTGGTCGCTCTCCACAATGCGCGAGATGCGATGAGCTCAAAATTGACCGGGGATGTAGAAGGCAAAAAAGCCTTTGAGGCTTTCAGGTCACTCGTGAAACGTGGTTGCGTAGTTTTTTTTTTGTTTTCCTCCGGATCCTCGCCGGGGGTTTCCTCTCCACATTTAGAAACACGCGTTTTAGAGTATTTTGCTGCGACCATACAGTTCCACATACATTGTAAGCCACTTCGTTGAGCTATCATTTGTGGCCAGGTCGCTTCTAAAAAAAAAAAAGAGCTATACAGCTCGGTGGGTTTTTAACTGATTAAATGCAAAGTCAAAATTTGTCGTTAAAATCTTGTCCATCGTATGGGCTGGTACCCGGCCTGTAATATTCGTAGAAATGTCATGCATTCAATGAATACACATACTTGGAATATATACCCACACACACACGTGCTTGCATTCAAGTGGGGGGGAGGGGAACGGCTGCGCCGGGAGGTAAATATTGGCAGTGTGACCAAGCCAACGCCGGATGAAGGCCTTCCAAAGCTGTTGCCAATCCATCAGGATCTTCATCGTCCCCATCATCATCACGTGCATGACCCTCGGGGCGTAGCAGTGCCCACGAGCCGCCGCCACCAGGCAAGCCTATCCCGCGCAAGCCGAGCACGCTGAATGTAAGCCAAGGCCGTGTTGTCGAAGGCTGGCCTCGATCGTGCGTGTCCAAGTCGGGCCGTGGTTCGCCACCGGTGTGCCGTCGACGATCGAGCGCAGGGCCCCCTGGAGTCCGTCCGGGCAACGTGTCCGAAGAGCCTTAAAAGTCTTCTGGCTCTGCCCCGTTTCATGCACTGCCAGGCATGTGATTAGAATCATGTGATGTAATCATCCTTACCTTGGAGCTGCACGCCAGCTGATTTAATCGCTCCGTCTCCTCGGTGGACGGGTGCTCTCCGACACGATATGCCCCTCGCAAGTTTAACCGCGGAGGAAATGTACGTTCAGAGTCCTATTCTACAAAGAGTCTTTATTCGTCTCGTAGCTGGGGCATGACGTCTTGTTTTAAAAGCAACAATGTTCGAAAGAAATATTTGAAAGTTTGATTATATGACGTTAATAAAAAAAGATTCCGGGTGCCAAATGCATTCCATTGGGTCGGTATAGATGTACCTCTGTTTAACACGTAGTCGGCTTTCGCGACGAATGTTATCCAAAAGAGGATTTGGGGGTTAGAGCACGTAAATATAAATGTGTCGTTAAACCCAAAAAAACCCCGACAGAATGTACACGCACGGTGCGCGTAACGTGCATGCTTAATGTATGTCGATTATCCTATGATGAACCCAACCGGTAATGGATATCAAGAGTAGTTTATACCCCACCCCCTCTCCTCTGGCCTTCGCAGCTGATTGGCTCACAAGTAACAGCATTGCACTCATCCCTCGAGTGAAGACCGAAGCAGTGGGGAGGATGTTTCCACAACTCTGGCTGTCTGCCTGAGGATGCTAGTTGTAATTATAGGCGACACTTCGTACTCGAATTGTACATTTTGTGGGTTTTACTCTCCAACACACCGGCGTGCTGAACTAGTAACGAATTTGAATATTTTGTTTACGTGACAAACCTTACGAATTGGCTGTGGTCGGGTGGTGGCGGGTTTAACGACACATTTACGTGATCTCACCCGAAAACCTACAGATGCACCTCTGTCAACTATAAATAGCGTGCGACCTTTTTCAACAGCAGTGCTACAACTCTTATAACACTGAATTACAGCCGACAACACTGCACTTCACAATAACAGGTTACATGATATCAAGCGACGATGGTGGCACACGAAACAAAACGTGACTGGGCAGGCTTATTGCATGAATACATTAAGGTAACAGAAACACTCGAAGTATGCCCGCATTACGCACAATGCAGTCGAATATGCGCCATTGATCAAATGGGCAGATAATGCGATGGCTCAAATTCTATAGGGGGTGGAACGATTCACTTCCTTGGCAATTCGATACATCGTCACGATTCAGGACCGCGATGGGACACTGGCCGAGTGTCGCGGTCTCTGCCAGCTCAGTGACGCACGCAAACCCATGACATAAAACCATATACGATTAAAAAAAAACCACGTAAGAATCTCTCACGCATGTATTGTGAGGATTGGTGCACTCCTATTGTTCGCACTCTGCAAACACAACACTTACAAGACATTCAGACAATGCCTTGGGGTTCAGCGATGACACAGGTCTACTCTGTAAATAGCTGTTGCCTGTCGGGGCTGGACAATACCTTGAGGTTATCTCCATGGACAGACAAACGTGCTGCTTCAAATGCAATTTACAAGTAAACGAGACGAGAAGGCAATGGCAAGGGGCGATGTCTTGCATGGATGATCTGGGTTTGCAAATCTGTGAGCTACCGAACAGACTACTGAGTGTATCCTCGCATAAACTAAGGTTACGTGTAGACTGTAGCCCGACATGTTAATGTGTACCGCCAAGGGCAGTTTCCAAGCAAGTTAATGCTACAAGTTGAACAAAATGAATGACCGAACTTATTGTTTATGAACTTATACGTCGAGTGCCTTGGGTGGCTCAGAGGTGAGAAAGCTGGGCTGCCACAGCCGAGATCCTGGCTTCCAAATTGAGGCAGCAGCTGGTCATGAAAAAAAGTTCTCACGGCAAATTTTCAGCTGTGAAAAAAAATCCATCTCATGGCAAAGCGCGTGGACAAGTGCGGCCCTCACTGCGTCATGGATTAAAAGTCCACTTGAAGGAATTTCAGACGTGTACTGTCACACACTGCACCCTTTTGGCGTCATCTGGTCGAGCACCAATTGGGTCGAGGCTCAAAAGAAAGCGTCCCTTGGTGTGGACCAATCAGTTTCAAGGCCAATGCATATATTATCATAGTGTTTTTTTGTTTGCATTTTGACTGCAGGTATTGTGGTTAATGCAGACATGAATCATTGTAAAAAGGTTTCAGTTTTGTTGCCAGAAAAAAGGGGAAAACCCCTATTATATTGAACGTGGGCTTGCCAGTGCACCCATTAAAACTCGCTGGCCAACAACACACTGGAGAGAGAGGGGGGTAGTTTATCTGCCCCCCCACCCCCCTCCCCACCCCACCCCCCTCCCCACCCATTGAAAGCCGGAGACATCTGTCCTGCACTTGTAAATCTCAAAGACGCTCCTTCCCGTGCGACTGCATTTTGTTTTCAGATTTTCGCTGCAGGAATGCCCTTCGCGAGGTTCGAGGTGCGTTATAATTCACGAAGTTCGCCAGAGCGGTGGTGGGAGGGAGACGGCTGGGCGCTTTGCTTGGGGGTGGTGCACCACCGCTCGTGGGGAAGAAAGCGCGACGCAGCGAGACTTACGATCTCGCCCAGCCGCGTACGGAGGTGTGCAGCGGCCAATACGAACGAACAAACCCCGATTTGAGTGGTCCCAGTACGGGTCAAGGCTTCGGCTGGGCTGACGTGACCGGTGAGAAAGGAGATACTTTGTCGACTGCGCCAAACAATATATATACCCGCCCGGGAACCGATGGCCCTGGGGCTCTTGATGAATAAGCCCTGTGCAAGCGGTGGCAAGGAAAACGTTGTTCGTCCCACAAATTATAAAAACGCGTAATGAAAGGCACGCACGCAAAGCCATCCCAGCGAGAAGCCTCTTGCCTCTGGAGTGTAATAATTATTTCAGACTGAAACTTGTTACGAACCGCAGCGAATTTCGTGGAACGATTGAAGGGTGTGGGTTAAACAATGTGGCAGTTGTTAATGGGATGTAGCGAAGCGTTGAGGATGTTTATCCGCAGGAGAAAGGGAGGCTGCGATAGGTGGGGTGCGTGCGCAACGTGGAAGAGGGCCGGTTGCTGGTAGGAGACTTTTGGGAGTTTTGTCCAGAAGGTCCGTGACCAAATGGAACCACCTAAAGCCAAAATGTGGGAAGATCCTTCTAAGTGGTCCTGGAAGGCCGTAGCCGGCTTTACGTGGGGTACAGCGGAGGGGAAGCGATGGCGAGAGGTGCCACCAAGCACTGGCCATGAATACAGATTCTAGATTTGAAGCTTTCGTGACTGCAAGGATCCATACTCTTTGGTTCTATTGGGTAAAGTCACGGAGGTAAAAAAACAACAAAAATCACGACGTTTCGGCTACAACACAAGTGGCCTTCATCAGGTGAAGGGACCTCGAGACAGTCTGGTCCCTTCACCTGATGAAGGCCACTTGTGTTGTGGCCGAAACGTCGTGATTTGTTTTATTTTTTACCTACGTGACTTTACCGAATAGAACCAAAGAGTATGAATACAGATTGACCGTAATAAGTTAATGGTAAGCATACATTCACATTGTCTTTTAAAGAAAATCGCAGTCTTTAGATGTAAATATCATGCAAAAAAACTAGATCATTGTTGCAGTGGTATAAACGACGCTCACAAAATGAATTGGTCGACACATTCAACACGCATTCAGCTGGTTACAAATCACAAAAACCCGATATTGTTGATATGTGACTGTGGAGCACTGTTTTGCAAAGGCAGTTTTGAGTTTTTTTGCTACAAAACACATTTAACACAGGATGGCCTACAAGATGGCAGAACGTGTTGCATCCATTCCTCTGTTTATTGTGGGGTTTTGTTAACCCCCATTTTATTCTTATCACGAATATCACCCACGTGCCGATTACCGTATCTTGCCCACGTGTAGATATCACATTGGGTAGCCTTTAAGCGGGCTGCTTCTTTCGTACGGATCAGCCATGCCTCGACGTTCACATCGAGGTTGGTGAGCGAGGCCATGGACGCCTTCAGGGATGAGCCTCGTGGTAAATACTGAATCTGAAGCGCTGCCGGCGAATGATGATGATGAAAGTGAGCAGCGAGTGTTACTGTGCGATCCGTGGTTTAAACATTTCATGGTGACCGCAGTCGTATGGTAGAGGTGATGGAGACTGCATCTGATGCGTGACGTTCCAAACTGGCTGCACCTGATCAATGCAGCTGGCTGTATATAAGCCCGTCAATGGTTATTATTGATAAGCGTAAATAACTGACGAGATGTTTTTGGAAGGAAAAACAAGATGCAGTGCCTGTACGATCCACCAGAGAGCAACATTACCCCCCCCCATCCCCGTACACTTTGGATTGCAACACACGAGTCGGGACTCTTTTTCGCATCCGACTCTGAACAACGGAGCAGCTGTTTCTTTATTTAAACATGCAAAAAAAATATCCCTTGCGCTACCTCTTATTCAAAGTGTACTGCAGGCTGTCGTCGTGCCCCGACAAGAGTACATCGTGAAACATGCGCGCGGTCGCTTCGTTCAATGCCGTCGGGGATTCTGGACGAGTCACGTGGCGGGGTGATGGGGGGGTTGGTTTCGGGCAGCTGTGTTCGTCTTGGTCGTGTGGCCCAGGGAATATTCGGCCACCACCGCCTCGTGCCCGCCGCGACCACAATGTACGCAGAACGCCGAGTAAGTCGGTGTCCCTGACTGCGGAGCAAACGCAACGGCAGCGCAACTCTCTCAAAACCCACGTGGCAATTCTAGTCGTCGTTCTCGTGGCAACACGGTGGGCGGCAACTTTTCTTTTGATGACCAAAAAAAATCGCGTGCACGATAGAGGCATTAAAAAAAAAAGATGTATGCCTATTTTTGTTCTCTTCCTTCCAGTGGAACCGATGTCCTTTCAGTAAATAACGAGCGATACAATGTTTTAGCAGGGCAAATCGCTGCAAGCAATTCTGGGTTGTTGTGCTCGTGTTTTACCGGAAGCAATGTTGAAGAAGAAGAAAAAGTGGCATCACTCCCCAGGTGTCCCACAAACAAGCCCAGGTGTAGCTGTCCGTTCCGCGGAGGAGGCGTTCCGCCAGGCCACGTTTTTTTTTCCAAATGAGCACAAGCGAGTCACTCCCCTTGTGTGCGTACATTTACACGATTGACACTTCGAAGGGGACATGGCCACTAAACGCCTCCGATTTAGCACGGGTTGGCCACGTACGGTGTGAAAGAAGGTTCAACATACTACTTTTGAGCACTCATGCAATTGTTGAAACAGTGCGGATTTCTTTTCGACACACCGGTGGTGCTGAAGCGGTGATACGTTGGCACGTTCGCGTAACAAAAACATTAATCGTTTGCTTATTTATTCAGGAAAGCCACAATGACTTGGGCGACCTTTTTTCAGGAAGGGTTCTTATTTTTAAGACGTTTTCAGGCAATAATTGAGTGGTTTATACAAGGCGGCGAAAACCAGAGCATCTGGAGAAAACCCACCACGGTCGCATGCGGGCCAACACTCCGTCCCCCATACAGATGGAAACAGATGGAGATTAATCAACTTGCTGCACTGCCTTCTCCTGGCGAGCCCGGGCGTGGCACCTCGACGCCCACGGGGGAGCTTTACAACGTCCGTGCAATCCACCAAATCTCGCTGTGTCCCCACAGTGCTGGATGACAGGCCATGTGCTTAGCCACCACTGCCCAGCTCGACACTTTATTAACTGGTGGAAAAGGGTGTACGACACACATTTTATTAACGCGATCAGATCCCAAAATCAATAACGGATTGTGAACGAGTGTTTAAACAACAACAAAAAAATCCCCCACCAAGTTGCGTGCAGCTCCCACCTGGAGTGACATCACCTTGGCACGCGTGCGTGAGCGTGCGTGTGTGCATGCACAAGTTGGTGCAGTGGCACGGCTTTACGCTGCCCGCAAACGGTTATTCCGTTAGCAATTTAACCACGAGCACAGTGCCCACGTGCGTCCGCGCGCGACTTCTCGTCGTCACCCGGCTTGTGCTGGCCATGCCCGCGTCGTTGAGCGTTCCCGTTCCGTTTGATCCGTCCGCGGCGCTTCGGTAGCGACGTCTCGAGGCCTGCGCTTGGCAGGCTGTGATAGGTGGCAACAATCGCTCGCCCGTCACCGCTGCTAGCCCTCTCCTTACCTTACGATTGTTATAAACTACAAATGAAAAGTTCGGTTTTTTTTTTCCATGGCAATTCGTCTTTATGCAATAGTGAGAGCTGGTTACAATTGCCCCTGTGCATGCCACGTATTGCCCAAAATTCACGATTCTCAATCCCCTGATTAATTCGATTAGGTGCATGGCCATAGTAGCCATCCATACTCAATAACCGTCACATAACTCCTTCCACTGACAGTAATGGTATAAATATTTCAATATGTATTAGCTCAACTGCCACAAAAGCAAGAGTGATATACTATATATATGAACGAAACTCAAACTACCTCAATGCCACAATTGTGCCTTAGTGTTTTAGTATAAAAAAAAGTTCCTACAATGAAATGTTAAATTACCACCAATTCTTGCAGAATGCATCAATATCCAATAGTGTGGTTTCCACATCATCATTAATGAATAATACTATAAAAAATAACCTCCTACATATGTAATGTTAAGCTACACCGAACACACATAACCTCAACCATCTACGACAGGTGATCCCCGGCTTGTTCTAGTTTTTTGTTCATACCTTATCTTGCCGGCGGTCAATCCAAACATACGTATCGATACAAAAAAAAAAAATCAAAACACATCTCGTCGTAGTAAAATATTTCTCATCGTCACAACGCAAAGAGATTTCTCATCGCGGATGTGAGCAGGAGCAAACCGTGAGAGGAGTCGCCGCAGGCCCTCCCTCTCCCTCTCTCTCTCTGGGAGAGGTCGGAATAATGATCGTTGCGGGTCCGAGGTTCGCGGGGGAGCAGGGGCCGGGGTCCAGAGTGCCACGGGGTCAGATGAGCTTGTAGAAGAGTAGACATGCGGCTGTGACCCAGTGGCTGGCCCAGTCGAGGCTGGACCACATGGCGATAGTGTGAGCCATGTTGTAACCCTGCCGGGGGGGGGGGGGGGATTCGAGTTGCAGATCTTCAAGGCGGTGCCCCATTCTTACCCAATTACACATTTGAAGGTTGGCTCTCAGTTATCCGGGATAATGAGAGTGAGGGACGGCCCAAATAAAAAAAAACCATGGTTAAATAAAACATTCTTGGTTCTTTCGGTAAAGTCACGTAGAAGGGAAACAATAAAATAATAAAAAATTCAAATTTTCTTGCTGTGGTTTTCACACCTGATGATGATTGCTTGCGTTGCAGTCGAAACGTCGTGGGAATTTAGTTTTATTATTTTATTGTTTCCCTTCTACGTGACTTTACTGAAAGAACCAAGACTATGAATCCCTGCAGTCATGAAAGCTTAAAATCATAAATAAAACATGTTCATGTTCGACTATAACTCTATTTTTATTTGCGGATAATTGGGGGGAGATGTAGAATGTGTCATCTGTTTTTATTGTTTCTTAGTGTGGTCGGTTACAGTCATAAAGGAGCAGCAGCTCACAATGGAATCGGCGTGTACATGTCGCAAGCATGGATAATTCGCAACCTGGATAATCAATCTGCACACTGAAAATTATCGAGAGTTTGTAAAATGCGTTCGTCAGAACTTTGTGGCACTCTAGTTTGTATATTTGCTGCTTACGACTCGTGGTGATTTACTCTCATATCATCGGCAATTATTGATCCACCGCTGAAGGCCTCCCCCCCCCCCCCCAAGCCGTCACCGTCCCTTAACGTCATACGATGCAACGATCCATCTATCTCATGCACACGAGCTGGCCACATCGCTCCATCTCCATGGCAGATGTCCTCTCGAGTGCACTGCTTCCTTTGGCTGGCACTCCAACCATCATTCTAGCTACCTTCCCACTTAATAATTTTCCTGCCCATTTAACCTTTTCCCATTCCGATGACGTACTTGTACGTAAAATAAAAATAACTTTATCGGTACGTCTTCACGTCGGAAGATGTACCGAGGCTCCCACAAGGCTACGCGGGAGAGGTGTGTGGCAGTTTCGCACCAGCTATCAGTGGCGGTCATGTGGCTACAGTTCTATGCGGTGAGTACAATGATTTAAAAGACAATGGCGCTTTGCCTCTCTAAATAAAACTACCGCCAACCGCTTGTGCGCGTTTTGACATTCAGCGGTGAACGGGACACCCACCCTGCAACTTGCAAACATCTCGGAACGGGAAAGGCTTCATGATGTTTGTGTAGTCAACGTTGATTTGCTGTTTTCATCTCCCACTGATTTTTTTTTATCAAAATCTCCCTCGCAAAGGGCATTGTACCGATGCGCTTTCCGCTGGTTTTATAAGTAAAGCGAATCAATCAATTGGCCTACCCGTCTGGCTGCGTCTATCGAATTTGAGAAGCACAGCCGCAAAATGAAACCTTGCAAGCATTGGTAAACAAGAGTGCGTTAGGATCGACGGCCGTGAGTATTAAACGCTCGTCAACGCCGCGGCTCTACTCGCTCTCCGGGAGCTCGTAACTCCGGATGGAAAAAGGTGAACGGCGACTCCTCGCCTACTCCGGTATCGGGCGGCAGGTGCGACCAATTGGAATGCGAGAGCAGCGCTTTAATCAGCGTTCTCGCCCCAACAGACGGCCCCCTTATTTATTAAAAGGCGAGCCGTCTCTCTCCCAAAGGACCAGCCAGGTCTGGCGAAACGGCGCAAGGCGCCGAGATTGTAATCTCCCGCGCATCGCTCCTGCATCCCAATTCGCAAATTACCCACCTGCGCGTTGTTACTTGCGGCTTGGGAAGCCTCGCAGGAAGTTGTTAATGTCACCGAGTATCGGCTCTCGTAGGCTGCTGCAAGGCGGTGGGGGGGGAGGGGGGGGGGGGTGCTGCGTCTGTGCCCTCTCACAATTTTGGTGAATTTACCGTGAAGGAGCAGCCTCAAAACTCACGGTTGTTGCCAACCGCAGTCGCACCTCGCAGACGTGCGACTGTGAATCTGCGAGTACAATTGGTCCTCTCTTTGTCTATTTTTTTAACTATCTCTCTTTCTGTTGTTGTTCTACACCACGAGCACTGCCCGCGCATTTACGCGAAATGCACGGCCGGGATGGAGGGTGGGGGCAAAGGGTGGGGGGGGGGGGGGCGTGACGTCAGCGCGTGACGCACAAACCCGGCTCAACGCTGTGGGATGCGGGTGATGTCATCGCGCAGGTGTGCGCGGTGGTGACGTCACCCGACCCCCAAAGCCTTGCTTACCTCCTCCTCGAGAGATTCAGAGTCCGTCTCGAACAGGGAGCCCAGGTAGGTGAGGTGGAAGAGGGTCAGCGCTCCAAAGCAGAGGTTTGCCAGCCGCACCCACACCGTCTGGGGAGGCAGGACGGTGGGCGTGAGACATCTTTGCATGTGCAGTCAAACCTTGGATTGCGAGTAACTTGGTCTGCGAGTGTTTTCAAGACGAGCAAAAATTTTAAATAAATATTAACTTGATAAACGAGCGAGGGTCTTAGCAATACGAGTAGTACCGTATACGCTTTGTCTGCCGAGCGTCACGTGATCACAACTGATGTACGAGTTATAGGAATAGGTTTTACCCTTTTAACTGGCACAAAAAACTGACCTTTATTCAAGGCATCATGTTTACAATAACCACAACACAAGCAGTCAAAATGCAAACAAAAGACTGCTTGTGTTGTGGTTATTGCAAACATGATGCCTTGAATAAAGGTGTCAGTGTTTTGTGCCAGTTAAAAGGGTAAAACCTATTCCTATATCTTGTTACTGGCAAAGGAGGTCTCATAATGATATACGAGTGCTTTGATATACGAGTGCTTTGGATTACAAACACGTTTCCGGAACGAATTATGCTCGCAATCCAAGGTTTTACTGTATGTTGAACTTCTTTCGCGCCGTACGTAGGCAACCGTGCTAATCGGAGGTGCGGGGCGAAGGACAACAAACTAAACACAAAAAAAACAGTTCTAAACAAATGGGTTTTCAATTTAGATTTAAAAGCGCATATTTCCATTGGCTTCTCTTTTTCTTTAGCGTCTTTTTACAATTCTGTTGCAATTGAAAGCGTAAAGAAGATTGCAGGGGACTGAAAAATGACGGAAGGAGGGAGAACGGTCAAGGTTGAAATCAAGCTTGTGAAACCAAGGCAAGGAAATAACACGGCGGTGATTCAGATGAGTTCAGGGAAGGAACCGAGACGGACGGGAGCTCGTACTCGGTGATGAGACGCAAGCGTGGAAGGAGACGGGAGTATAGGGGGAAGGCAGGAGTCCGTGGTTGTGTTAGAGGCGGCAGTAAAGGATCTACAAGAGAAACGATCGAGACTGATCGAAGCAGTGTTTCCCGACCTAAAGAACGAGATCCACCGCGGATGAGGTGTGAGGGAAGGGGCAGATGACGATGATTCACCAGATGATGGCACGGAGACATTTCCACGTGGAACTCTATAGCTTGCAGCGTTAGAGGATGGCCCTCAGAAGATGACGTCACAAACCTACTTCTGAAGACCCTTGAATACCTCACTTTACCCACGCTTTATCCCGGGAAAAGATTGCTCATCGCTTGTTAACACAAATCGATATTTTAAAATTTCAAAGCTGAAACGTAGCCAAATTCCGTATCACGTCTTCTTTATAGCCCTTTGTCATCATATGAAATACCTGCAAACCGTAAATTTACATACGCGCGTTGCCTTTTACATACACGCACCTAGCTAGGCAGGTTATACACCTTCTATGTACCGTATTTGTAAACAAATGGGACCAACGCAATAACCTGAAGCGAACCACATCCGTACTTACGATGAAATAGTAAAAAAAAATTAAGTCAGCAGCGCTCTGCAAAATCCCCACCGGGATGGGGTGGGGGCAAACTGGTGAACACGTAAAAATATATTAACTAAAAAAAAAACCACTGCAATTCATCACGAGCACATTTTACAAAACAGCGCTCCCGAGAAACGTTTCATTCTCGGGTCGCAAACGTGGCCCGCGACGGGTTCCGGGATGCGCGGCTCGGTCACCTGCTTGTGCCGGTGCTGGCAATCGGGCTGGCACCGCCGGGACAGGATGCACGCACTGAATACGCCCGCCAGCTTCTTCCTCAGCACTGCGGCAGCGGACGGGACGGGACGGGAGCGTGAACAATCGCGAGCGGACCGCGCCGCCCGCTACGCCTGCGATGATGACGACGATGACTTAGGCTGGGATGGGGGGGGGGGAATGTGAATGGGTAAAACTAAAAGTTCGATAATTGCTGTCGTGAGGAAACATTCCAAGCAAGTGATGATGATGGTTGAGGGGCATTTGGCAGTGGTAGTGATTATGATAGTGATAATGACTGATGGTGGTGATAAATGATACTTATGGCGATGTTGATGATTATGGTTGTGGTGGCTGATCATGGTGGTGGTAATGATGATGATGATGGTAATGCTAATTATTTGGTGACTGCGCCATCGTCATAATCATGGGGATCAAGATAGGGCCATAGGCCTGTTTGTGGAGATAGATTAATATTTGACCATAGGGATCATCATGGTAATGGTGCGGATATATTTGACCCTGGTGGTGAAGATGGTGGTTACCATTACGGTGATCATGATTTGGTCATGGTGAAGATATGGTATTGATGATAATAACAAAAAATGGTGAATATTTGGTCATGGACTGACAATTCTGAACAATGAGCATCCCAATTCCTCACCGTGCTCCGTGTAGGTTACTAGTCCGAGCGACAGCAAAACAGCGCCCAGGTGAAAACTCAGACCCTGTTGTGGGAGCAAAAGTACAGGCCATAAAATAATTTATTCTGACGGTGGCATTCATACATTAATAGATGTCTGCCATTAAATCCATGAATTCAGTCATGTCCTTACTGCAATATGGAGATATATAATGGGACAATTAGACGAAAAATGTCTTTTGTTTTGTAAAGTATTGTCGTCATTCAAGCAACTTGCACCACATCGCAAAAAGCTGAAAGGCAGCAGCCGGGGCAGCGTTACCAACAATCGCCTAAGCTCCACAGTCCTCTATATATTAAGATGTTTTCGGCCGTTAAAGGAGAGTTTATCCAGGAGACGATGATGGTCATAAGAGGCTCACGTGCAGGAGGGCGCTGGCAGCGTACGTCACCAGGATGGCAGGGAATGTGCCGAGCTGCACGGTATTCTTAAAGACATCTGCCACGGGAGGCCGGGGATGCACAACAACACACAATGTAAACGGTCAACAAGCAACGGCGTAAATTGTTATTTTAAGTTATGAATTGTATAATATAGTATTGAACTGGGACCCCCATATTGTAAAGGGACACAGCCAATTAGTAAGGTTTGTCAAGTAAACAGAACATGTCAATTCGTTACTAGTATAGCACACCGGTGCGTTGGAGAGCTAAGCCACAACATTTATAATCTGAATACGTTTCGCCAATAATTAGAACTGCCTTCACCAGGCGACATCCAGATGTGGAGAAATCCTCCTGTTTCGTTCCTTAAATAGAGGGGTGATGGCATCACTTGTTCATACTCTTTGGTTCTATTCGGTAAAGTCACGTAGGTAAACAGTCCAGTCCCTTCGCCTGATGAAGGCCTGGACGCTGTCCTCTGGACAGTCCAGTCCCTTCACCTGATGAAGGCCACTTGTGTTGTGGCCGAAACGTCGTGATTTTTTGTTATTTTATTTTTACCTACGTGACTTTACCGAATAGAACCAAAGAGTATGGATCCTTGTAGTCACGAAAGCTTCAAATCTAGAATCATTTGTTCATGTTTTTGTTTTTTGCTTGTTGCTGTTGCACCCGATTCAAGAGCCGAATGGCTCACAGGGCTATACCAAATAAATGAAACTGAACTTGTGAGCACTTCTTGGCGATGTGGTGGGAGGGATTAATGAATGCATATACATGACAATGGGTATCCATTGCCGGTTGGGTTATGCATATGGTAATCGACGCGCACTATGCATACACATTTATATATTTACGCGATCTAACCCAAACAAACCTGTATTATGGATGGTCGCGAAAGCCTACGTGTTAAACGGACGTGCGTTTCTCCGTGTGATTGGCAGTTCACCGGCATTGATTCAAGTAAGGCTGACTGCTGATGTATGTCGAATTTGGCCCACAGCTTGCTTGTCTTGAATCAATGCTGCCGAAATGATCAGAATCAGAAGGCTTGTGCGGCTGTGGGTTGCAACAAACTTTTATTTTTACGTGGAGGCACGGATAGGTGACGGGAGGCAGCGCCTGCTTATTTATTTCGTCAACACGCAAGACAGGTGTACGTGCAGTGGGACGCCTGTAATCTGGACCAACACGAGACAATTCGTATTTAGAAGCGTGCACCGACCGCCGTGGTAAAGTATGGTCGAAACAATCTCGATTTTTAAGCTTTCGTGACTGCAGGAATCCATACTCTTTTGGTTCTTGCGGTAAAGTCACGTAGAGTAGAAAAATAATAGATCACGACGTTTCTATCGCAACACAAGCAATCGTCATCAGGTGGGACAACCACGGCAAGAAAAAAACTGCCGTGGTTGTCCCACCTGATGACGATTGCTTGTGTTGCAGTTTTTTCTTGCCGTGGTTGTCCCACCTGATGACGGTTGCTTGTGTTGCGATCGAAACGTCGTGATCTATTACGTTTCTACCTACGTGACTTTACCGAAATAACCAAAGAGTATGGTCGAAACAACCTCCCAGTGACCGATGTGGCAACCGGTGTAGCAGTGTTTGCAGTGGTGAACGTCGTAGACTATGAAGACAGTGGCCTGAGTTGGGCTCCCGACCACGGCCAACATCAGCGGAGAGTGATAGCGAATCCCTTCTTTTACAAGCTGACACCAACCGGCGTGGGGTGGTGAAGTATTATGCAACAACCCCGATGACCGGAACGGCATCGGCAATCCATAATTCACGGGAAGATTGACAGGGCCGTAAATTAAATTGCACAGAATAGAAAACCGCATCTCAAGGCGCTGTACAAATCTGGGAAAATGTGTCAATCTGGAGAGAAAGAGAGTTTGAAGAGGTTTTGTTTTTATAGCAGGGAATCGGGGACGGTGGTGTGGGGGGATGCAATTGAGACTACATTACGGTAGAAAGGCACTTCATTGAGAGGGAGGCCGAGGCACAAGAGTAGAGGAAAAGTCTTGAGCCTGGGATGGAACCGAGTAAGACTCTGAGCAGTGTGTGCAACAGGAATGTAATGCGAGGCGGTGGGAACAACAGGAGAGTGAAGCGACCTCTCGTCGAGTGATGGTTGACCGAGTTTAGAGAGGAGGCCTCAGTTGTCGGAGTGAGATGAGAGGGGGGAAGAGGTAGGCCACGTTGTGTTCGTGGACATTAAACCAACATTTTTGTTTTGTCTTTTCCTGAAATAATTTTGTTGTTTGTGACACAGATCCATCTCCATTTGTCGAAAGAGCAAAGTTCCACGGGTGCTGTCGTCATCAATATTTACAGCGCCGACGTTGAACCAGCACATTTCGGGCCCATTATTATTGAACATTCAAGCTTCCCATTTATCTTTTGAAGGCCAGAATTTTAAGCGAGAGCAGAGGCTAAAAATAAAACTAATTATACCACACAGTGACAGAAAACAACTTAACTTAAAAAAAAATATATTATTTGCAATGTCAAAGCCGATTTTACATTGGGACTGACAGAAGCTGAAGCGAATGCTCGAACCATGGCTTTAAATATAACCTACGCTCTGCTAAACGCATCACGATGGTAACGAAGACAAAATAATGAGTAACTAACGCAAGAAAAGAGCCATATCAAATAAGTCTTGTTGGCTTAGATTTAAAATATGAAAGTAATCAAAACTTCTAGCTTTTTTCTTCTTTGTAACAAAACATATAAAAGTTATTAAAATGGTATAGCCAATCTTGGCATCTAATAATCTTCGTGTGTTTGACTTTTTTATCGGTTTTTCTTTTAAATAATCCCTTCGCACTCATTGCTTTGTATCAGATACACATTTACATTGTAAAAAAAAATTCAAATTAAAGGCAACTCTAAGTGCCTAAATAAAAATTGACATGCACCTATATCTGCATAAGTCCAAAACAAAGAATAATCGTCTTTCCAGATCAATATTATTCAGCAGTATTTGTTTAAGCAAGGAAACCCTGGACTGTTTGTGATCTCCTGGGTCTCTGGGATAGCAGATGTTGTTGCCAAAGATCACTCCATCTAAACTATGGGGCCCTGTACAATTTAAAATGGGAGGAAAAAACGATCACGCGAACTCCCGTCATCCTCGCAGCGGCTTTCGGCTGGCCATCGAACAAAGACGGTCACCGCATCGCGCGTTTTCAGACGCGCTTCTGTGGCCGTCTGGAACGCTCTTCCTTCTGATTGTTAGGAAGCCACTGGAGCCACGCACTTTTAAATCTAGATTGAAAACTCCTTTCTTCAGAACTGCTTTTTGTGTTTAGGTTGTCCTTCCCCTGCATCTCCGATTTAACACGGTTGGCTATGTACGGTGCGGAAGAAGTTCAACATACACACATACAAAAAAAACAATATTATTAATAAGTGTGAATCTAATAATACATCTCTAGGTTTCATCTTCGTTGGTTCTTTCGGTAAAGTCACGTAGAATGAGAATAAAATAATAAAATAAAACAATAAAATTCTCACGACGTTTCGGCCACAACACAAGTAGCCTTAAATTTTTATTTAAAGCTTTCATGACTGCAGCAATTCATATTCTTAGTTCTTTCGGTAAAGTCACGTTGAAGGGAAACAACGTGACTTTACCGAAAGAACTAAGAATACAAGTAGCCTTCTTCAGGTGAAGGAACAGAACAAAATGAAGCTTCATTGAAGCGCTGTCGTCCCGATAGTTCTGTTCCTTCACCTGAAGAAGGCTACTTGTGTTGTGGCCGAAACGTCGTGAGAATTTTATTGTTTTATTTTATTCTCATTCTACGTGACTTTACCAAAAGAACCAGAGAAGATGAATCCTTGCAGTCACGAAAGCTTTAAATCGAAATCTCTAGGTTTGTGAGTTACTGATGGCCCGTTGTTAATCCATTGCTGGGTGAAGGCTTCCACACGCCCGTGTCAGTCATGGGAGTTGTTTGACCATACTTCACCATTTTTGTCAGTGTCGATTGGCGAAGTGGAGGACCCAGGACCGGTTCAGACGTCACTCGCCAATTATGTTAGCCGTGGCCGGGAATCAAACTCGGGTCATCCGTTTCACAATGCAGCGCGAGCAAAAAACAGTGCGCCGCCGCTTCTCCGCAAGAGAGTCGCGTGCTTGCAGTACTGTAGTCCCACGTCAGCCGCGGTGCATGTGTATTCAGGCACCACGTTGCTGGACGATCTGAGCACTGCAACTGGGAACTCACACGTGTTGAGCCAGCGAGACATGGGAATGTTCCAGCTTGTGACGACTTCCACCATGGACCTCGGCACTTCAATGTTGAGCGGATGGGAGACGTCCATGTCCCTAAATATGTAAACACGTCACAAGTTACCCACACATCACAGCAGACGGAGGATCTCCCACGTAGCGGTGTAAGTATGTGGAACGTCTATTCGCACAGTACGTAGCAAACCGTCCGAATGGGAGGAGCTTGCATTGACAGTTGGGGCAATGCTGTTAGCAGGCACCTTTGTTGGCTGCCTTTGTCTCCACCATGCTGATGCTTACACAAAGCCACGAGCACTCAATTTAAGGCTGAGCTGACATTGGGGAGGCCGAGAGAGGGTTCCGATATCGCCCCGCCACACTGATGTTAGCCATGTCCGAGAGTCGAACCCAGGTTTTCAGATTCGGCAGTGAAGTGCGGTTAGCACATACACCACAGCTCCCCACAAACTACACGCACGCACACTATCACACGCGTCACCCTGGAATGATTCAGTTTGGAGAGATCTCGCCAGCAATTAACATTGATCAAGTCCATCATAGTTGACCGGCAAACGTATTAAACCACATCCTGGTCTAGTTCAGAGTGAAGCTAGGGTTATTGTTGATGTTTGTGCATGTGCATACATGCGCTTTATTACACGCTTGCTATGCCCTGTAGATTCAAATGAATAGTTTTTTAAAAGTAGATTGTTTTTACTCTTCCAGAGCAGCGCATCACCCTCCATGTGTTCGAGAACGGTCCGCAGAAGGAGATATTGCAAAACTACTTCCGCGAAGGTTTTTTTTTAATCCATAACCAGGACATGCTTTTCTGCGTGACCTGCTGCAGACAAATGTTTGTTTCGTGCGAGTCAAACTTGACTGCTTATAAAAAAAAATCCTGACAGCCTGAATTTAGCCAAAATAAAGTAATAAAAAACCGAAATGTATCATGGTAGATTTTTGTGTGTGCAGTCATGAGTGACGAGACTGAGTCCAACTTGTACAACACGGGAGAATCCGGTTTCATCACGTGTGACCGAAGCCTGGATTCGAACTCAGGTTCTTAGTGGTGCTACTCAATACTCTCAACCTCTGAGCAATTGTGCCAGCTCAAAAGAAATTGCAAAAAAAACAGAATTTGCTTGCCGGAAATTGGTACCGCTATGTGAACATGGAGCTGGCTTGGGCCGGGGGGGGCTGCGGGGGTGGGGGCTGGGGGGGGCTAGGGGAGGCGGGGGGGGGCTGAGGGGCGGGGGCGTGTTTAATCTGTACAAAGCAATACCCTCAGCATAAAGCCAGGGTTATCAATGTTGTTCGTGCGAGTGCATGCACATACTTCATCGCATGCTCACTATGCCCGGCAGCTTAAATTTACAGCAATTGCACAATTTGTTCTGGGGTTGTGTAACTTGGCATAGACCGAGTGACCACAGCCCGAAAGCAAAGTTTCCTAAACTCCAATCCCCATTCTCTACCACGGGTCTGCCTTCCCACACTTGTCAATATTTTCAATTCGAATCGCGGTTAATGTTTAGTTTTATCTTCTTCAGCCGTCCATCGCGAACGACAATGACTGCGGGGAACAGCTCGCCAGCGGCATTTCCCTGATCGCCGGTGGGATGAGATGCACAGCCCTCAAGCGGAAGCGTCAGCCACACCCGCGCGTCTGGTACATCGTCAGTCGTCGCACATGCAGATTGCATCTCACAGTCGTCGAGGGAACCACAGACAAAACAAAACGGCGCATGCCAGCGAGGCGGCCACTGGGGAACCGCAAGTTCCATGCCAGCGTCCTGGGTAGTAAGTGTTATTTCCCAATTGCTTATGCCTCAAGAGTATAGAAAATGGCTATTATTCCCCACAAACTTTGCTTTATCAGAGCAGTGAATTTTAACAAATTGAAGGTTATATACAGTGCTACAGTGACATGAAGCGAGGTGTTTTATGATGAAGTTTTGTGCTAGATTCACTGCCATTAAATTTACACAAGATAGAATTATACTCTGCTCGGTTTTTTCGTAAATATTACAGCAAAGAAGTTAGTATAAAATAAAAACCAGGGCCGAACAGCAGGGATCATTACTCATGCTCGCTCCACAATTTCTAAGCAGCATTGCTCACGTCAAAGAGAGTTGTGCTCTCTTCTGTGTGTGTGTGTGACATCAACATCGGCCCAAGCCATTATCAGCTTATTGAAGGGATGCGTCCCTTGAACACAAAGTCGTGATATCTGAACCAGTTTCCCACCACCCGACTTCACCCACCGGCACTGACCGGCATTGTGAAGTATGGCCTTTATCAGGCAATGGATTGGAAAGGTTCGGTGAAATAGATGGGTTCTCTAAATTGGCAGCGTGGTGGTGGTGTGTCAAACGCGTGCACCTAAATATCCGGTATGGGCTTTGCGGATGGAATTTGACAAAAAAAACCCAATCCCATCGTAGTGCTCGTGGGAAACAGCGACCACAGCACGGCTTGTCTGCAATAAACCAGCGAGTGGAGGGAGTGAGCTGCTGCTGCAACGCAGCTGTTTTAATTTTTTTTCACAAACCTTTCGTGTGCAATGCTTATAAATCGGAGAAATATGACTCCCGTAATGTTTAACAATGATGAGACGATGCTACAATAACTGGACTGCCCTACGTTGTCAATGAGCACGACGGTACTTAAGATTTCGAAGGCAGCCTGCTCTCTCACCCCCTTTTTCCCGATCACACCTGCTCAACGGATGACGGCTGTAAAGTGTGAGTGGTCTGGCGAGTGAAGTCCTCCTGTAATGGGTGTATTTATAGGCAGCACCTATGCACTGCTCGGACATTACCCCCTCTGGAAGGGCAACGGAGGCTGTGGCCGGGCCAGCAGTTGGCTTCCCATCTGCTATGGTGGAAGCACTGCGTTTGTGTGCCCCGCTGTGCCCCTAGTAAGCTCGCCGGGTGGTGGCGTCTGTAGATGGCCTACGAGTATTTGTTTAATCTAAAACGCCGGACTGTGTGGGCGATTATAGCATTTCAGACATTCTCTGATACGTATTCATTCATTCAGTATCCCTGCCCATTATCTGGAGGATTGGAGGCTTTGGTAGCCACTTTATCCTGTTATTTGTACACTGTGCCAGTGTTACCTGTACACTGTGCCATTCGTTTCAGCTGGGGCTATGTTCCACCAGTTGTCCCCACTTTCACCCATTGCTTTAATTGGATAACCTTGACATGCTTTACCTTTGGCCATACCTTTGATTTATAAACGAAACTATTTTTAGGTTACCAGGTAAGGGCTACTGAGCTGTATAGCTGTTATTCAGAAGTGGCCTGGCCACAAATCTCAATAAAGTGTCTTAATATGTGGAGGGAAACGAGGAGAAAAATCAACGCGATCACAGAGAGAACATGCAATCTCCAAATGCACAGGCGTTATTGGGTTGGGATCGAAACCACGACCTCCTGTACACCAAGCGAGGTAGTTAACATCTCATAGCCATACGTGGCGCTACTTTGGGCCAGCAAATGAATGCTGCTCTTCTCTATTTGTTCACTGCAGTCCATCAAAGTGTCCCCATGTTCTGTGAGTTGGACGATAATCGTATCCATAGTGTTAGCAGTCAACAGTAAAAACTCCAGATGCCTATGATAATAAAACCACATAATTTTAGACTATTTTAATCATAAGTCTATGATTCACCTTTCAAGTAACTCTGACATCATAAAGAAACATCCTTAAATACATTTGTTATTCTTTCTGAATAACATTTTTTGCCTGATCTAAAAAAATATTTCCCATTCCCTGATGGGATGTAAAATTAAAGTGCGGCTATTTTTCACCATTAACTCCACCATTTTACAAGCACTTGCAGCAATGTGGAACCAGGGCCAACGTCCCATTACGGCTAAAGTGTTCGCGAGCGTCGCGTAACCATGTGCAAATGGCGTAATTCTCTTGTACAGCAGCGTCATTTAAAAAAAAAATTCCCCACATAGGCCGTCATTCAAATGACTCAAGGCGATTAAAAATCTGAGGCTGCCAGATCCGGGCTGTGCGGGGGGGGGATGGGTCAGCACAGGCCAAGCAAACTGCACCAGCCTCTGATGTTGCCAGGGTCCGTGTCTGGTAAAGAATTGTCAAGCTGGAGGAGGACTTCTGCTCTGTACAGCACTTTGCGACCTCCGGGTGAAAGGTGCTTTTAAAGTGCAAACTATTATTGTTACGACTTCTGCCGTCTGAGGAATGCTGACGACATTCCCACGCACGATGAGTAATAAATGTAAAATGACTGAGAAAATAAATAAAGAGTAAGCTGGTTTTGGGGCATCCCCTCGTACACCGTAAATATATGAATAGAGAAAATAAGAGAATTACAGGATCATTAAAAATAAAAGCACTATGTTTTACTGCGACTATTACTGTCACCGCGATGGTAAAGGCCCCACTATTATTTTTAATTAGCCAGTTACGTATTGTATATGTTCACTGAAGCAGAAAATTTACACATCGGATATGAAGACATTTCAAAGCCCATCAAGAGTGGGTTGACTTATGTCTTGGCGTTTGCTTGCACGATGCTCATTCACGCCGTGTCTTCCAAATGTTTACTGCCTCCTCCTTTCAATGCATCATTACTCGAGATGTAATGTCTGAACATATAATGTCTAAAGCCGGCGTGTTTACCATGAGGCTGTTGTTTTTTTGTGTCGTCGTGAATTTTTTGCCATCTGTCGCGGCTGCTTGCTTTGTAATCCGACACAACTGAAGCGTGTCCCCCCATATTGTTCCACGATGTAATCTTCTGCTGAATGCGATTCGAGTCCGTGTTTTTGCACCGTGGATCCATGTCGCCTGCCCTCACCTCTGTTTATCGTTGCCTGCACAGAACACTGCACCTGTCGGGAAATCTTAACAATGTAACACATTTGCAACAACAGAAAAAAAGGGGTATTTTTTTTTTTTTGAACGGGGTGAATGGTTTTGTGTAGCGCGCCCGACTGCGTCTGTGCTCGCTGTGTGGAGCGGCAGCGTCGTGGCGAGCACGTAGCGCTGCGAGCCAGGCGACGCAAGTTCCATTCCCGTCCGCGGCTGACATCGTTTTGCGATTATTTGAACAACGCCTGGGGCCTCCCCTAGGTTGCCTCAGTCTTAAAAAAAAATAGAACGTGGTTCTGGCCACAACCACCCTCTCGTGCACCGTGCTGGCCTTCATAGGTTCTGGCTAACCTGCTTCCATTCCTCCCTTCAAACCCATCTCTTCTCGCTTGCTCACCCTACTACTGCTACTCCCTGCCCCCCAGCTACAACCAGGCCTACCCCAACCCCTATCAAAACCCCTATCACGATCCCAAACCCTGTCACTACCCCCAACTCCTCCTTAAACTCCCATGGCTGTTCTCCTAGTTGTCACCATAACTACACCATCACTTTTAATAACCCCACACATGAGCTCAACCACTATAATCTAATGTACAATTTTGTAATTGCTGCAAAACGCCTTGGAATAAAGCACTATATACATCTGCATAAGATAAGCAATAGCCCCAAACAGCCTGCGTAGGCTACGCTTTATTTGCTTTTGTGCATATGTGCGTGTGCCCGTGTGTATGGATGTGCATGCATGTGTGGGCATACATGTGTGTGTGTGCATGTGTTGCATGAGCGGTAGTGTCGCGATTTAGCACTCTGTGCTACGAACCGGGTGACCCGAGTTCGATTCCTGCTCACGTCCAACACAAGTCACGATTATTTGAAACGGTCCAGGGCCTCCCCAAGGTCGACTCAGCCTCAAATAAGCACCTGGTGCAGTGTGTAAACATCGCCACTGGGAGGAGATAAAGGCGGCCGGGCGTGGTCGCAAACACCACTTGCCCCAAAAGTCTATTAAGGCTATACGGGGGGGGGGGGGGGGGGGGGAGGAATCATTGTCTTTGTTGCATGAGCGAACCTCCCTGCCCCACTCCTCACCACTTGACATGATCCTTCTCCTCGGAGTAGCCCCCTCCGGCGAGAGTGCAGCTCGTCTCCGACAGGAAGCCCACGAAGTAGCTGCTGAAGTGGAAGGACAGCGCCGTCTGGTACGCGTTGAGCCACCTGGGAGGGGAGAGGGCACCGGCGTCACTGGCCGATGGGTGCCGAGGAACTCTCATGTTCCGCTCGTGCCTTTTATTTCGCCACCGTGGGCGCCCACATTAGAACATGGGGACACTTTGACCGACTGAAGTGAACAAGTAGCACTACGGTGACGCAATGTTAACTACCTCGCCTGGTATGCAGGAGGTTGCGGGTTCGGCCCCGCCCCTAACGCCTGCTGTATATTTAAAGTTTGCATGTCTTTCTTCCCCTCGGTCGAGTGGATTTTTCTCCGGGTCCTCTGGTTTTTCCCTCCACACTTAGAATCAGCACGCGTTTAAAGTATTTGGCTGCTGTAAACGTCCACACGATAAGCCACTTTGTTGAGCTATCATTTGTGACCAGGTCGCTTCTGAAAAAGAGCTATATAGCTCAGTGGGCCTTACCTGGTAAAATAAAATAGTTTATTTAAAATAGTCAATTTGTCCAAGTGGGATTAATACGGCGACTTACAATGTCACCCGGGCAGGGACACAGCCACACGTTGGAAGTTTGGGTGGTGTATAAACACACATTTTAATTTGTTTAAAACATCTCAATATATGCAGGGCAGCAGAGCTTGGGTAATTGTTAATGCCAGCTCACTGCCTGGCTGCCTTGCTTGCCTGTCTGTAGTTCCTCGTGGCTCTTAGGCGTTCTCTGTCATTAGGAGCAAGTGGATACTGTGCGGTGCATTACAACCTGGAACAGTCCCATTGTTACTAATTAGTATAATAATAATAAATGGTTCCCGGTCATTATTGGTTATGTTACAGATATTATTCGCTAAGTTCACCCCCACCCTGTAAAAGATAAGGGCTGTTCTACTCTACTTTAATTACATTACATCTATGCAACTCGCAGCTACTGACTGGCTACCAAGATCCAAGAAGTCGAAATAAAAGTCCTAGTGACGTGTGGCTTAGTTTGAAATTAAACGGCGTATATGGCTGCTAAATTTGATTGTGATGACAGTTCTCCCAACTTACCAGCGAGCTGAAAAACATTCATGATTAGCACGTTCTTGTACCCATGACAATTTAATTTGTTTGGCCGTGTCGGCTGGTGGAGGGACTTAACGACACAAATTTGGCCTCACCCCAAAAATCTCGTAGGATTCGTGATATTGTCTGCGAAAAACCTCTGCAGCTTGTGTGCATTTAGTTTGCTGGGGGAGTCTGCATCGGCACATTACCTTGGCAATCTGGCCCTTGAGAAGAGAAATGGAGAAGAGGGGCAGGGCAGGGCAGGGAGGCGACATGAGAAAAAGAGTTCAGTCGAGAGAGAAACTGAAACGTTAATGCAGAGACGTCTGACGAGAGACAATCGAGCAAAGCCCGACGCGTCGTGCAAACTTAGACACGCGCCTCCTGTTGCCAGCACTCGAGCCGGGTTCAGTGACACATCCCCCCCCCCCGCCATTCGATACAACGCAAGGACATTTAAAAAACGCCGAATGGAAATGGAACGCGTCCGAGAGAACGTCCGCCCTGTAGATGGAGCGATGAGATCAGTTCGTGTGCAGGTGCTCGACGGATTGGCGCATCGCAAGATTGTGGCATGTGGTAGTGGCGGTTTGGGAAGGTCCTTCATCCAGCAGTGGACTGATCTTGGCTGATTGTGATGAATAGGAAGTGCAGGCTTTGCCGATTGCCCTCTGACTTATGTTTACTATTTATATTGGTTTATTGTGAAAAGTTAACTTATTTTTATACATAAAAATTAGGTGTCATTGCATTCACGTAATTTTTTTTATTCTTTTAAAACTGAAAATATTTTTCCATTATTTTATAACGCGCGCCAAAGGGCAGCTTAATTATTACGCTAAATCATAAGTTATTAAATATATATTTGCCAATTTAGGAAACGTCACACTTGAGTCTCAAGAATCAGCAATAGGGGATATTTGGTATAGGTAAACCATAAAGTTACTTTGTTCACTCCGTTGCTGGCAGAGGGCCTCCAACTCAGGACATTTGAAAGAATGAGTAAGTGTTTGAAATGTTGGAAAAATATCAGAATACCTAGAGATAACATGAAAAAAATGTTTTTGCAAGGGCAGGTGAGCTACCTACCTACTTCGAATACTACCTCTTATAAGCACCCCTTTTCCCTGCAGGTTTTCGTGATTGTCCCATAAGGCAAATCTCAGCATGATCCACCAACCCTGTGTACAATTCCCCAGATTACAAATGCCAGTGCACCCAAAACCGATGGCATGATCTTTAGCTCAAGGCAATGTACCGGGCCGGGTTAAGGTGATAATAACAATAAGAATCTTTGCTCTTATTTTGGTGCTTAAATGGCTCGGCAACTCAAAGTGCCTTACATGACATCGAAATCTCAAACATTTAAACCCCGGGGGGCAATAGCTGTTCCCGTGTGACTTATGCTGACTGGACGGGCCTGCAGGTGAGCACTAGCATGCCAGTAGCGGGGCGCCAGGATTGATACGTGTTATCCCAATTGAGTAATTTGGTTCACTGCGTTACTATGAGCAGTCGGCAGGGTTGCAATTGGCCCACTGCAGGCCTGGCTGAAGGGGTACACGTGGCCAGCCCTCCTACCCGGCTGGCAAATCCACAGGTGGTGTCAGTTCTCTCTTGTCTCCTCATGGCGCAACCACAACAACGGGAATGAAAAGTGCATTAAACCAAATAAATAAATATTCGTCTTGCCTCGGCGGCTGGAAACCGTATGATTTGAGTGAAATTACAAAATATGTTGATTAAAAAATGTGGAATAATGGGGAGGATAGAGATTGCGGTGCTACCTCAAAGGAAAAAAAAACTTTCTATATAATTGATCTGTAATTATTAAAATTCTCAAGTATATAAAAATTATATAGATTTTTTTATTCCTGTTATACGAAGAGGTCCACTTCCTATTTACAGTCGTATTATCAGCTGGCTATCTATTTTTTTGCCAAATCATCTCTGTCCATGCATGCGCTGTCAATTTCAGAAAAGCCTTTACCTTATCTTCCGTCTTTTTTTCCCCTTCCTGGAAGAGCAGCAAAGCAGTAGATAACGAGAAAAAATGGTTTAATAAAGAAGATTTGATCAAGATAAATGACAACAGGTGGCGGTGACATCACCACAGCGCCTGTGCCAGGCCAGGTGCACACACAAAGATAAACACACAAGATAAACAAAAAGACAAAAAAGACAAAGATCCCCCATATAGTCTCGACAGCCTGTTGGGGCAAGTGCTGTTAGCGAGCACCTATGAAGGCCGGCACGGTCACACGGAGGAGGTGGATGGCAAGCATCACGCCCGGCCACCTTTGTCTCCCTAGTCCCGATATTTACACACTGCACCAGGTACTCATTTTTGGCTGAGTACACCTAGGGGAGGCCCAGGACGGGTTTTCATAATTGTCACTGATGTTGGCCGTGATCGGGAATCGAACTCGGGTCGCCGGGTTCGTAGCACACCACCGCTCCCCACACAAGATAAACATACACACACACACAGACACACTGACGCACACAGACACATGGCACAGCAGATCCGCTTCAGCTGCCCGTTCGAGCGGAGCTGCTGTGTCTCGGGTGCAAAATGCATTTCAACAAAACCGACATGTTTCTGTCAGTATCGATAGCGCTGCGATGAACGTCGTGCCTTGAGGACGAGGCAATGCTACCCAGTGCCGTCCCTTTAAAAGATCAATGGCGCAACACGGCGCTGGCCTCCCTGCACCGGTAACCACTTTGGCCAAAACTATGATCATGTGACCTCTTATACGCCCTGTCTCCATGACCCACAGAGCTCCGCGTTAGATACTTGAAGTCCCCGCCTCCCAACACCGCAGTTCCGTGAATTGAGACGATTCGAGTCGGCTGCCAATCTGAGCAGAATTCCAAATTCACAGGGATGACTTTGCTTCTCTGGCTGCGCCGGATCGTACGTCAGAATTCACGCCGGGCGGATATACACATGCACATTACTTTAGAGAGACCTTCCCAACTCACGCGGTAACTCGACTAACTTGTGACAATCGTGAACACCTTTTTTTTTTATCCAACCGTGTGAAAAATCGGGGCAGGTACACTTGAGCCGACTTGAGAGCTGGTTATCCATGGGAACGAGCTGGTTGGGTGTCAACTTGGCACTGACCTAAAGTGTCAACCGACACCATTAATCAACCCTTTCATGTTCCGAGACGCCTGCAAGTTGCAGGGTCGCTCCCGTTCACCGCTGGATCTCGGGACGCGCAAGCAGTTTCGCGTTCATTTTATTCGGAGAGGCATAGAGGGCCGTTGTTTTAAAGATATGGTACTGGCGCCAAAACTGTGCCAAACGCCCTCCCGGATATTTCAATTTTTATTCCACCTCCATTCCAATGACCTACGTGACACACACGTACGTCATTGGAATGGGGAAGGGTTAAAATGCTCTGCTCGAAGTAACATTGGACGTTCATTTTCAAAAATAATAGAGCCAATGGCTTGATTTATTATGATTATTCTATATTTAAGCGTCCCAAACAAAGTTTTCCGCCGCTGTGCCGACGCTATGCCCCTGGTGGCTCCGTGTGTGCGTGTCTTACCGCGTGCAAAGGACCTTATCGCGCGATAAGTGAAAGCAATAATCCATCGCAGCCCTCTTTCCGCGTGGAGAGTCTGACCGCTGGAAATAGTTACGCATGTAGTTTGCTGTGACGAAGGGCCTGTTTCTGAGCGCGCAGAAAGTAATTGGAAATTGTCTCTATGCTGCTGCACCATTTTTAACAGAAACTCGTTTACACTTCGTCGGAGGAGGAGGAAAAAAGTGCGCCGAATTGTGTACGAATTTTAATGAATTCATTCGCCGCCGCTTGCTCGTGTGAACATGCCCGGCAATTGTAATATCATTGCCTTGCAAAGAATTATGAGGAACAAGTGGTCTGCCTTGAGTTAAGGCGTTTGACCGTAATTTTTTTCCGTTAAATATTATCCTTGTACTAAAGTATTGAGTGCAACGCTGCTGGTAATAACGCTCGGATGCTGCAAGTGAAATGGTTTATACGCTGTGCGCGCGCAGTGCTGCGTGCTACAAAGCTCACGTCATTAAAAAAAAATAAACTTTTTTTTGGCAGTGAAATGTAACCTGACGCAGCTCTCTTGTTCCTGTCTGGAGACAGCCACACATCGATGGCAAGCGGATTCTGAACCAGATGTGAGCCTCCCTTTAGGTCGATGCGGCCTTAAATTAGCAAACAACTTAGGGTGGCTGCGCAAACATCGGCAGCACTGGGCAGACAAGGGAGTCCAGGCTTGGTGCTGGCAACACCGCCTTGCCCCCTTCCTTCGCGTGCTTCATCCCTCCGCAGCCTCTGACGGCTACGCGGGGGGGGGAAGATCGCTGTCTTTGCGGGCGGAGAGGAAGGGTGTCCAAGGCAGGACTTACTTGTTGAGGAACCCCAACCTGTAGATGGGGATGATGTATGGGAAGAGATACGGTGCCAGGCATGTGGACACCACCAGGCAGCAGATGGACTTGGTCAGGCTGATCAGAGACTTCTTACACCAAGGCCAGTCCTGCAGGGGTCAAACAAGGGGGGTGCCGCTGTGCGTTACCTCGCGCGCACGAGAACGCCTGCCTTGCAGGGATACAAAGTGGGCCTGTGAGAGGCAGTGCATAGTTTTGAGCGTCATCGGTTTGCATGCTGGGGTTTTCTCAGTTGAACATCTCAGTGGTGACATAGGATCCGCAGGAAAATGTAATCCTATTGAACAGAGATGTGTTGAAAAAAATTGACCTAACTTTAATTCAGAGTCGCTTCATCGATCCACTGCTGGATGAAGGCCTGTCCACGCCAAGTTGGTCATGGACATCGTTTGTCCATACATCACCAAACTGCTGAATGTGAGTTGGTTAAGGCGGGTGGGCCCAGGATCGGTTCAGATATCAATTTCCGCTGATGCTTGCCGTTAATGGGAAGATAATTCCGGTTACTTGGTTGTCAAGAGCATCACACGAAGCAAAGTGCCACTGCTCCACCCTTTCTATGAAATCATCGATCGGACTGCTAATACAGTTGAAGAATAGGACAGGGGTACAATGATTAGTTAGCACACTGCGCTATAAAACCAAGTGACAAAAGTTTTATTCCCGTCCATCTTGCCACTTTCCCAAACTGCACTGACCCGGTCTGGTGAAATATGGTCAATAAACATCTGTGCCCGAAAGGCGTGGGGGGGGGGGCCTTGACACACCAGTGGATGAAGGGCTGTAAATTGCTATCATAATTTTAATTGTATGCGCACACAACAACAACCGCCATTCGCCACTAAGTGGCGGTGACGTCACCACGACGCTTGTGCCAGGCCATGTGCACCTTGAGGCCACGTGAAGTGTCGAACCCCCCCTTGGCAGGAGGTCACAGGGCAGACCCAGGTGCCACGGGTCGACTGACTGAGATGACTGGCTGATGCACCACCTGTGCCCACTACTGTGCCAACCTGCTGTGCTTTAGCCACCCCGCGCTCCGCTCGTTGTTGTGAGCGTCGCTCCTCCGCCCTCCGTTGTTGTTGGAGGGTGACTGCCTCCAACTGCCCAGTAGCGTCCTTCACGAGCCTCCTCCACAGAGGCCGATCTTGACACCGCTGGTACCAGTCATCGGCAAGTCCACTCAGCTCCACGTCCTCCTGTACCACATCACTCCATCTCTTCTCTAGCCCGTGCCGCGCCCGTTGAGCCCCCTCGATCCGGCCGAACAAAAGCCGTTTCGGCATGCGGTGGCTGGGCATGCGGGCTACATGACCCAGCCAACGCAGCCTTGCCTGCCGGAGGAGCTCACCGATGGGACCATGCCCAGATCTTTCAAGGATTTGTGAGCTCCTCACACAATCCAGCCTGGTTAAACCCAGGATGGATCGTAGGCAGGCCAGCCTAAATGTTTCTAACCGGCAAAGATGTTCCATTAGGGGGGTCCACGTTTCGCAAGCGTTGAGAAGGGAGGGAATGACCGTGGCCGAGAAAACCTGAAGCTTAGTGCGGAGCGACAGACCAGGTAGCTTCCACACAGCGTTACGCAACCGATGAAAAGATATTGCCGCTCGACTGATTCGGAGTGAGACCTCTGCTGTTAAACTGGAGCCGGTCATAAGCACACTGCCCAGGTATGGGAAACTCTCCACTCTCTCCACAACTGCCCCATCACCGATTGGGAGTTGTGGGGGTGGAGTGTCCGATGGTACAAAATACCCAGGCAGGTGCTTAGTTTTGGTGGGGCTGATGGTAAGGCCCCATCTCTTAGTGGCACGCTCCAGTCTCAGCAGCAGTGTCTACAACTCCTCCTCTGAATGAGCAGCTATTACCAAATCATCAGCATACATAACGTGGTTGAGAAATAGGGAGCATTCCCTTGACCGCACCCGGGCATCGATCAGCCTCCCATTATATCTGTACCATATGGAGATTCCCCCAGTACAGCTATTGAAGGCTTCACGAACTACATGGTCAAAATAGATGTTAAATAATGTGGGAGCCAGAGGACATCCCTGTCGCACCCCAAGGTGTACAGGGAATGGCTCCGACTCCCGGCCACGTAGTTTTACCCGGGCCCGCTCACCATCATGAAGGTCCTTAATGATTGTGAGCAGAGGGTCAGGTACTCCAAAAGCACGAAGAACAACCCAGAGCCCAGGCCTACTGATGGTATCATAGGCCTTGACCAGGTCAATAAAGCAGAGATGTAGGTCTTGCTGGAATTCCCTACACCTCTGCTGTAGCAAACGGACAGAAAATATGGCATCTGTGCAGGACCGCCCTTTCCTTAAACCGCATTGGGGCTCCGCAAGCCTCTCCTCAGCGTGCCTGGCAAGGCGATGTTGAATAATCCTTGCCAGGACCTTTCCCGGCACACTGAGGAGTGAGATGCCCCTGTAGTTGTTGCAGTCTGTGCGGTCCCCCTTCTTAAAGAGAGGGACCACCAGGGCATCCTTCCAATCCTGCGGAACCCGTCCAGTGGTCCAGACTGTTGTTATGATGTCATATAGGGCAGTCTGTGCACAAACGCCACCCTCCCTCAGCATTTCGCTTGGAAGATCATCTCTGCCCGCTGCCTTTCCTGGTCTCAGACTCCGGATCGCCTTCAGTACTTCCTCAACAGATGGCACTTCAGCCAGCCACTCACAGGAGGTGACTTCCTTCAATATTTGAGGCACCGCAGCCTCAGCAGGGTCATCCTCACTTTGTGCCACGATGTTTTCCTGGCCGAGGGATTTTCCCTCCCCCAGGACCTCACAGAAATGCTCAGCGCACACGCACGCACTTACACACGCGCGTACATTTTACACGCGTACCAAAATATCACACGCACAACAACAACGGACGTTTGGACCGACACTTCACTTTTCTTTTTTTTCCATCCTCTGCTTCCCGGGCCCACGAGGAGGCTAAGCATTTACAATCCTTGCACGGCCGCTTCGTCCAGTGGCGGGCAATCATTAACAGAGCCACTCCTGAATATTTTAACCGCAAGCACGGTGATTAAACACCATAAATATAGCACGATCACGCCTATGAGGGGAACAGGAGTTCGGCAAAAATAATCTGTATATATTAAGCCATTTCCAGCTGAGCTGTGGGCAAGCAAGCCGTGATTACTGCTGCGTTTCGTCCACAATAAAGCTCACGGTGAAACTACACCAAGTCTTGCCCTTTGAGTTGCCTGGGATGCACGGTTAATCGCTCCGCGGCATTCGGGAGGGCGCCACTTAGGATGGCATAAATTCAGCGGCAGCGACAGTGGCGGATTACTCCTAACGACAGCTGCCTGAATCTTTAATGCCGGGTCGCCCACACGAAGCCACCGCCACAGCGGGCATAAATAATTGTTACAAATTTTTCTTCAGCGGAACAACAAGTACAATGGGGCAAATGGACGCGGAAACATAACCGTGAATTTTGGTCCCGCTGAAATTCTGTGGAAGGATCCGCGCGTGCCGAGATGAAACCACCGGACTGTAAGAATTACGATGACCTCAACACGTGAAGAGCAGATTGATACAAGATCACCTTTATCATCACCAACATCCACTAATCCCCACGATTCTGCAATGTAATAATCCACCCAGCGCCTTCTCATTAACTGATTTCATTACTCTATCTCCCCGGTGGATGGACTCTCTAACGCTTTCCATTCCTTGGCTGCCAGTGCGTTGTTATTCCTGGCCTTCGACCATTGTCTCCTCACCATGACGTGTCCTGCCCAAGCCCACTTAACTGTTCTGAACAGTTTAAACGATTGAAGATGCCAGTTGTTTCATGTACAACTTAACCGGAAGAAACGCAGGAGCTGTGGGGGTATTTGCAGTGCGAATATCACAGCCTCCAACACATTTAAGGCATCAATTTTAGAAACAAACTGAAATTGAAGGAAAAGTACACAGTATGCCCGCGGTCACAATCTTCAAAAATGGAAAGCCAAGATTAAGAAACAAACTGGTGACATTGTTCAAACCGTAAGTGCATGTTCCTGCGCATCAGTGCACACACAGCACACTAATGGCAGCTACCTTTTCACCTTAAAAGCACCAGGATCAAATCCCTAAGTGGATCTACAGTGAGGGAAAAAAGTATTTGATCCCCTGCTGATTTTGCACGTTTGCCCACTGGCAAATAAATGATCAGTCTATAATTTTAATGGTAGGTTTATTTGAACAGTGAGAGACAGAATAACAACAACAAAATTCTCAAAAACGCATGTCAAAAATGTTATAAATTGATTTGCATTTTAATGAGGGAAATGAGTATTTAACCCCTCTGCAAAAGATGACTTAGTACTTGGTGGCAAAACCCTTGTTGGCAATCAAAGAGGTCAGACGTTTCTTGTAGTTGGCCACCAGGTTGGCACACATCTCAGGAGGGATTTTGTCCCACTCCTCTTTGCACATCTTCTTCAAGTCATTAAGGTTTCGACGCTGACGTTTGGCAACTCGAACCTTCAGCTCCCTCCACAGATTTTCTATGGGATTAAGGTCTGGAGACTGGCTAGGCCACTCCAGGACCTTAATGTGCTTCTTCTTGAGCCACTCCTTTGTTGCCTTGGCCGTGTTTTGGGTCATTGTCATGCTGGAATACCCATCCACGACCCATTTTCAATGCCCTGGCTGAGGGAAGGAGGTTCTCACCCAAGATCTGACGGTACATGGCCCCGTCCATCGTCCCTTTGATGCGGTGAAGTTGTCCTGTCCCCTTAGCAGAAAAACACCCCCAAAGCATGTTTCGACCTCCATGTTTGACGGTGGGGATGGTGTTCTTGGGGTCATAGGCAGCATTCCTCCTCCTCTAAACACGGCGAGTTGAGTTGATACCAAAGAGCTCCATTTTGGTCTCATCTGACCACAACACTTTCACCCAGTTGTCCTCTGAATCATTCAGATGTTCATTGGCAAACTTCAGACGGGCATGTATATGTGCTTTCTTGAGCAAGGGGACCTTGTGGGCGCTGCAGGATTTCAGTCCTTCACGGCATAGTGTGTTACCAATTGTTTTCTTGGTGACTATGGTCCCAGCTGCCTTGAGATCATTG